TCAATGTCAGTTTAACAACTCTATCTACTGATAAATTCGAATTATAAAAGTTCTAGTTTTTCACATTTCAAGGAATTCTTCTTACACGTGGAAAATCCCTTGTTATACAAGTAGATAGCCACTGAATGTTATGATCAGTACAAACGGAATTGCTGTTCATTATAATGTATAATTACAGACGATTTTGTCGAACATTAAATGCTAAATTATTCATTGGAAATCACTCACGCAGTTATATACCTGTGTGTAGATTTTACACATCTTCGAGAAGTTTCTTTAAAAATACTTTTCTATAGTTCTATAGTTAGATTCTATAGTTAGATTCTTTATATAATCAATTCTAACTAAAGATAGATTATAAGATTTTGAAAAGTAATTCGGAAAGAAGGGGTGACGAATTTATCGGTGAGAAATATTCGATGAAAAGATTTATGGTCAGAGGAAGGAAAAGGGGAGGAGGAATGGGTGATAGATTGAATAAAATGAAATCTACGAAGAGAAGGGAATAAAGGAGATAAAGCACTAACGAATTTAAAATATATAGAATACGTATAATATTGAAGCGCAAAAAAAATCCAAAATTGTGCGTTATTAATAACACTCGAATATTAATACACTCATTGAAACTAGATTCAACTTTTCAAATTATCTTTAAAAGTGTGTACTTTCGTTATTAGGGAGCAAAACGAAAAATAGAAAATGCAAGAACACTCTTTGAAATATTATTTTGACAGTGACATTTCTTTCTTCCATAAAAAAAAAGAAAGAAAGAGAGAGAGAAAAAAGAGGGAACAACTCGAGCAACTTCGAAAAATTTTACATTTTGCCAACTTTGGACTTAAACTTACTGGTGGCATTAATAATTTTTCTTCTTGAAAATGTCGCGCGAATTCTACCGAGATGGCATCCGCTTTAAAAGTTACTTCAAATATTCAGCGTCGTAATATCGAACGTGCCCTGTTGTTGTGGTTGGCAATGCGATATCGCGCGGCGTCTGTGTTTCACTTTTAATCATTCAACGACAGTTCTATCTCGTCCCATTTCGGTCTTGTCCCATTTTGTTCCTCAAGCGTTTATTCGATTCGTTCCTTTCGTTCATTCCGATTTGTTATTTTCGTCATCCGATCGATCGTGCGCGCGTGACTCTCGTTCGATAGAAATTTTGCGATTGAACGTAGATATAAATCCAACGACAACACGTAACACAGTTTCCCTGTTCTCTGCGCGAACGTATTCGCCCGCGATAAGGGCAATTTTGACTGTAACCAATGTCCACGATAATCGGCGAAATAAAGCCGGGATTAATCTTATCTTCAAGTTCAATCATTTGTCCAAGCAACACATTAATACGTTCGACAGCTGTAACTTCGTACAATGTTATCATGATACTCGTTAAATTATTCGACGCTTGCTTTTTGCTGGTAGGAGTATCGATAAGTGATAATGTACAATGTAACAGAGATTATTCAATGCAGTGTTGTGCTTAATTAACTGATTTTAATTATATGTTCGATTCGCACGTGATTTCTAATAGGTTTTTTCTTTTTTTCATTTTTAACGTAGATTTTTTTCATTAAACGCTTGTGATATTCGATTTTCTTCCTTGTTATTTTCTTTTTTTGTTGTTGTAAATATACTGTATTTGACTGTATACTGTAATTGACTGGACTATACTCACTATCATTGACTAGAAAAATTTTACTATGATGTTTTCAAAAAATTCTTGCGTTAATGTTATATTTCATTGGAGATTCTAGGAGACTCTAACAATTCGTCTAATGTTTTTATTCGTCATTTCGTCTCAATTCATCTCGAGACTGCAATTTACTAAATTAAAAAAGAAATTAAAGAAGAACTAAATTAAAAAAAAGTCGAGGCATTTGTATGATTACGATAAACTTAATGAATCGGTCGAGACAAGTGCTCAATTATTCATACTCTGTTTCGATCAACATCTTTTTAAAATTTTTCTACGATTCACTGCTCGTCGAAAATCAGTCGCGAAACGAAATACACCTTGCGGCGCGTCGAAGGTTTCAAAGCCGAGATTCGTAGGAAAACCAAGGCTGTAGTAAAAACGAAAAGGTACAGCTAAATCACGGGAAATCACCTTCTATCTAAAAGTTTCTCAAGTTCGAATAGACATATACGTACGTAGCCAATCGGCAAGAACTTATCTACAGAACTTCTCCCGGCGTTGACTCGAAACGCGACAGGAACACGCAGAAACTATTTTATCGTATTATTCGCGAGAAAAAAGCGAAAAAGGAATCGAAAAGGAAGAATAAAATTTCTTCACTGAAGTCGTTGCCTCCGAAAAAATCGAATTTGAACGTTTATCAAGCATATTTGGATTTAGTTAATTCCATATTGGACAGACGCGAATAATCAACACGAGGATGTTCTATCTGCAAAAATAAGTGATAAGTGTAGAATAAAGTTTCTTCGTTCAAGGTGTCATTTTCAAAAAAGAATAGACTTTGAATATGTTTCGTTAAAAATTGCCTTAATGCACGTGTTCAGGAATATCATTATATTCTTACTTTTATAAATTTTTTAAAACTCTTATAAAAAAAAAATCATTCGATAATTCTTGATTGTCACACGTTTCTTATTCTATATTATAAAAAATTATTCAAATTTTAAAAATCCATTATTGTAGAAAATTAGTCACTTTTGTAGTTCTAACGTAATAATATAATTTGAGATCGTATTGGGAAAGAATTTATTTTTGTCTTCTCCAATGAAAATACTATTGTATATTATATACTCACTAATATAACTGAGTATCTGTCATTAATCATTTTCTGTTTCAAATTTGTTTTCTGTTTCATTACTTTACTTCTTACTTATTTACCTTTTTTAGTCGTATTAATTAAATCAACGACATAACAGAATCTTCTCGTTGGAATAAACTAAAATTTGAACTAAAACTGCTCTAGGAAGAAAGAGTCGCTCAATTTAATTCTTGTGTAAACAGTTTATTTATAAAATCTCCCCTTCCCTTCGTTTCTTTATACTTCATCACAGTCTGAGAATATAAAACTTTGTAAAAATTGGAATGTCACAGAGGACGATCGAGTCTTATCTAAACGTGACCATAGGGAAAATTACTCGCAATCGACGCGACAATGGTCGCATATGTTTTGATCACGTGTAACTTGTGTCCGCGTGCAGCGTTCGAACGACGGAGTTACATTGATTCTTATCAACATTCGGATACTGACTTGTTCAAAAGACTGTTCTCGAATTAACATACTACAACAATTATTCTAATTAGACGAAACATAAATTTTATCTATTTATCCTCTACAATCTTCTACATGGAAAATGAGAGATTAAATCAGAGGTGGCTAACTGGCGGTTCTTGCCCCCACTTCCCTGATCGCTAGAGCTATCCCCTCCACTGCATCGATATCTACTGCGTTGAGACTGTCGCGATTACAATACTCGCGTTAGGTACATATATGTATACATATAAATTGTTTTCTTTACTGTAGCTGCTGAAGTTAAAGGAGGTTCGCCGCTTTTAAATAATAACGAAATTTAAAATTGCGAGAAATGTTTGGACATTATAACGAATGGGTGTAACAAACATTAACTTTTACATTCGAAATGTATATTCTATATATATCTAAATATTTTAAATATTATATATATTCTAAATATTATATATTCTATATATATCTAAATATTCTAAATATTCTAAATATTATATATTCTGTATATATCTAAATATTCTAAATACTATATATTCTATATATATCTAAAATATTCGAAATTTCGATGAGCGTTATATATATAATTTGCTCGTTATCCGAATACTTTTCCAAGGCTACGTTATTATTCGTTCACGTGCACGAAATAAACGAAATTTGTTATTTTATATTTATATTATTAAAATCCATATGAACTGCTGTAAATATATAAATCATCTCTCAACAATAGTCTCTTCAATATCGCGATGTCCGAATATTAATGTCAGATTCACTTGTACGTCTGGCTGTCACTCGTTCTCTATCCCCTGCTTTGGGAAAGAATACCCTCTGCGATCCACTTTCTTTGCGAACTGTCGTAAAGCCGCGTCTCTCATACATAGTATAGCGAACAGGCGTGTTTTGTATCGGGATATCGAGAAACGGAACGGCGACGGTAAAGGGAGGGGGCGGCGGGGCAGGTAGCTAGCGTCCTCACGATAACAAAGTTTTCGTACGCTGCACGCGTATTTTTCTATCCAGCTTATATAACCTCGGAGCCGAATGTTTCGCGGAGATTACCTGTCAGGATACGTATTCCCCCGTTGGAAAGATTTCCTCGAGGTATTTCGAACGAGGAAACGACGCGCGCCTTGGCGAATGCCTCTTAAACGCGTTCGTTTGTCTTGTTTCTTCTGTCTGTCGTGTCTCTCATTCGTCGTCATTACGATTGCTTTCGTTTCTGCTCGCGTTGAATAAAGAATAATGGGCGTCGGGACTGGCTGCGAGACAAGTAGCTCAGCGAATGGTCATTCGATGTGGGGACAAATATTTCTGATTAATTTTAGGTTGGGTACATGGGTCGAGAAATTTACAATCGAATTTTTCGCTAGGAGAGGAGAAATTTGTTTTTACAAATGATTGGAAAATAAAATTTGTTTTTAAAAGTTATTAAAAAAATAGCGTGCTCTCTCTAGAAAGTAGGTTTTCTCTAGTTTTGGTAAAGCAGGTGCATTGAAATTTTATTTCCATTGGACTCTCGAGCATGTCAGCTGATAGATAGCAGTTAATTTACGATTGTAACGTCTGTTTTATGAGTATTTTGTACGAAGAGCAAATTGTATTCTCGCGAAGGTGAAGAATATACGTGTGTCTGTACGATGTGACGAAGAATGTTACGAAGCGTTGATAATTAGTCTGATAGTCTGATAAGTAATGATTTGATAAATAACAAACCGGCGTTGATAAGGTCAATAAGTCTCTAAACATTTAGTTATTGAAAATCATAGACATTATCGTGAAAAATATAAAATCATTTCTATTTATACATTATCACTAAGGCTTGATAACATGTGTTAAATATATAAGCAGAACTTGAGAATTATCGATGCATTTGCATTTTCCAAGCAGACATGTCAGCCACGTTTTCACTGGGAACTAGCATTCTCCTTCTACTTGTAGCGTGAGTACTTGATTTTACTTTTTATCTTTCGTTAGGGACAGTCTTTAGGCTTTTAATTCTTTTAATTTATCATCTTGATTATTTGAATTAAACATCATGGCGCGCGCTGTTCAGAGAATCGAACTTTTTTTCGATAGAGAAAAAATTATTTATTTCAGATTATGTTACAAATACTCATAATTAGGGCTTGATAAAAAAGGAACAAATTATTTGAATAAAAATGTAATAATTATTTTATAATTTTTATTCTCACTTTCCGATATTTCTCTACCGAGTGAACCGTTCTAAGGTCTTCGTTCTAAAATTAATCGATGTTCCGATAATCAATCGGTCAATTTTGATCAATATTTTTTCGTCCCTCGAAGCCTTTGCAATTGTAACAAACGACATTTTACTTTCACAATTTTGCCAAAGGATCGCTCATCACCTAAGTTGATTCGGTTTTTGAAAATTTAGTTTCTCTAGTTCTACGAGTGGTAAAGATGATGTAGAGGACGAAGAAAAATATTTGAGGTTTCCGCCGAATTTCATCTTCGGTGCTGCGACAGCCGCATATCAGATTGAAGGAGCCTGGAACGTGAGCGGTACGTCGATCGAGTTTAAATTCTTGTCCTCGAATCTTGTAGATTTTTCTAATATTTTTTTTGGCTCGCGTTGAAAACACAGGCAAAGGAGAAAGTACTTGGGATCGGTTGGTCCACGAGCATCCAGATCGCATTTACAATGGTGACACGGGAGACGTTGCTGCGAACTCTTACTACCAGTACAAGGAGGATGTTGCCATTTTGAAAAAACTTGGGGTAAATACATTTATAACATATTGCTAGTAGCAATGGTTATTTCCATTGACAACTCAATTTGGGTTTGGGTTAATTTCTCAAATTTCGATTCACTGGTGGCAATGCTTTTGTACATATTGCAATATTAAATTGAAATATTAATATGTATCGATGAAGAGAAATCTTTGTACACCAAATTAAATTTAATTTAGACTGAGACTTGGGATTCATAATTGGACTTTAGTTCATTATTTTTCGATATGTATATTATTTCAAAGTAGCAATATATTTCAAAATTCTATGTTGCAAAAAAGGAATAGATTTATAGCTTTTATTCATGCCATAATTAGTTGAATTTACGAGCGTTTCTCCATCTGTGTGTTGACCTTATAAACTGTAGGATATGTCTGATATCAATACGACTATGACGTCAATACGACTCGTCGCTTATTCTATTTAAAGTTGACCATGTTGTTTGAACAGCGTCTCTATTTGCATATTCTAGCAATTAATAATTTATAATTTTGTTTATTAAAATTTTTTCGTAATATGCAATTAGTTGTAATTTATTTATTAATTAATTAATCTGCAACGCACAACGCGTTATGTATCTTAACACTTCATAACGAATGATTTCCATCATATACTATAAAATCAATATGATTCTGCAGTTAGTTAAAATTATTGTTCTTTGGAAACAAAAATTTATATTAAAGATAACAATACTGTGCAAAAAAATAGTAGTAATTCTCGTTACCGCAATTAATTATACCGAATACAAGAGACACGTATTACGAATTAATGGATATTACAGAAATATGGAACGAAACTTTCTCCTCTGAAATTATACGCGAATTTGCTTTAGGTGATTCGAGAGCTCAACTTACACGGAATTATACGTGTCAAAATGTCACCGGTGAATTTCGCGGCACTTTGAAATGTTAACGTAACAGAGTTGCTCGAAACATATCAGAAGTAGCGCAATTTAAAAAGCCCCGACCTTCGAGTTTCGAGTGGCACGTTTCAATTTTCATTAAAATTTGACACAATTGTCAGCAATATATATAGCTTCGAATATTTGCACATTTAGAACAGCACAAACTCCAAACAGTTTACATTCCAATACACATACATTGCGAGCAATAATATAGTTGTAAATGTACTAATCTAAATTAATAATTTACTGATTCTGTCGAAGTTCTTGTTTAACTTTTAAAAATCATTGATTTTCAGTTACTTATTTTTTCCAAGCGTTTACTTCGATGTTTCTCTTCACGTCAAAAATTTTTTCATGGATCTTCATACAAGTTTTACATATCTCTCTTTATGCATCTTTCTTTTTTTACAGTTCGATCAGGTTCTTAGAGATCCGGAATCCATGTATTAGTGGCAGGTTCATAGAAATTCGCAAACCATGTATTAATGACCATTAGGATTACGAAGACCTATAATTTACGTACATATTAGTATTAAATTCACGATGATCTATAATTCCCGTGTGAGTCATTACTATGTTTATAGAAATTCACGACAAGACTTATAAAAATTTGCAGGAGTCTTTGCACGTAAAATCACGTTTTACGCATTAATCGTTATTAGGCTTCTAAAAATAAGTTCGTTCACAAAGATCCTACTTCAACAGTGATGGTCATAAATTTCAGAACACATCCCACAGATCCTAATCATCACTGAATGTGTACAGATTCACGATCTCATCATAAAAACCCACGATACGAACATCGAGATGGTACAATAAATATAAAACCAAAAATATAAAAAAGCAACAAACTGAAATGATCGTCTGCCTACTTTTCAACAGTTCAAGTGGTATCGCTTCTCCGTCAGCTGGTCACGAATACTTCCGACGGGTTTCCCGAACAAGATCAACAGAGAAGGCGTTCAGTACTACCATAACTTAATCGACGAGCTTAAAGCGAACGGCATCGAGCCGATGTTGACTCTTTACCACTGGGACCATCCGCAGGTTCTGGAAGACATGGGTGGTTGGTTGAACGATGAGATGGTCTACTGGTTCGGCGATTACGCGAGTATCATTTTCCGCGAATACGGGCCGAAGGTAAAGAAATTCGTCACGATAAACGAGCCGAAGGCCATTTGCAAAAATGGCTACAGCCTTGGTATACACGCTCCTGGCAAACGTTTGTCTGGACTCGGCGAGTACATGTGCATACACAACGTGCTGAAATCGCACGCGACAGCGTACAGGATCTACGACAGTGAATTCCGGTCGAAATACCATGGCGAGGTTGGCTTTCTGGTCGACGTGATGGCCTACATGCCCGAGAATTTAGACTCTGACGCCGCTGCGGATACCTCTTTCGAATTCAACATTGGCTGGACCATGCATCCGATCTTCTCCAAAGAAGGCGATTATCCGTCTGTAATGAAACAGTTGGTGGCTAACAGAAGCAAAGCCGAGGGTTTCATGAAGTCTCGTTTGCCAGCGTTCAATGAATATTGGATAAATTTCATAAGGTATTTGGAGGATTTTGTTCTCTTTCGAATGGAATCGGAGCGAAGGATGTGATATTTAGTGTAGTAGTTTTCGGAGGCATTGATAATCGATCGAAATGAAATTTGACGCGTATCACGGGGAAAGATGATGGACAGTGATGTTAAAATTAGTTCAGTACCATTTGAAAGTTCCATAATTAATCATTTTCAGAAGATTCTAAAAGACTTTGACATAATTTATCTTTTAAACACACAAAGTTGAGATATTTCAATATCTCACGAAAGGAATTATTCTCATAAATTCTTCATGGATGCTTTGGAAATTAATAGAGTAACGTAAAAATAAATGAGTAATTACATGACTGAGCGAGAGTGCGTGTACGTATGTGGAAATTCTATTCTTATTAGTTATTAGTTATCGTGTTTATTATTACATTTTTTGTTACTACAGAAATAGCGCCGACTTTTTGGCTGTAAATCATTACACTTCGAGGTTAATTGTTAGTGGTACTATGGGAAAGATACCGTCTCACGAGCACGACCAAGGAGTGCGAGAGATAATCGATAGTTTCTGGAAATCATCAGCTTCTAACTGGTTGAAGGTATGCGTTTCATATTTGGGCCTTGCGTTTGGAATTTGAATAGTTCAATCATACAATATGTTGCATACTACACATAGTTGAAGAGCATAGCCATACCAATGACAATGAAAAATTATCGAGACTTTAAACTGATTTAATTGCGTTATTAGAAGATCATATAATGATGCACTTGATCTCATTTTAAAGTGGAGTGAAGTCTTCACTTTAAGACTAGTGAGGAAAAATCGTAAACTTTTTTTAAACTTACGTTGAAACATTGAAAAACTGTTTTCATGACTAAATAATCTACCACGGTCTTGAAGATTGTAACAATCGCTTAGAATTCGCCGTATGACTTCGTTTCTTCATTATTTTATTTAATTTGGCGCATTAAGATTAAATGATAAGATAAAATGTCAGGACTTCTTGAAATTTTATCGTTTAACTCTAACATTCTATGTTTGATAAAATGATGGGGAAAAAATCGTACAATAGAAGTCGTTGTAAGAGATGTTAATCTTCAAATTGACGATAGGTATAGTTACAAGAAAAATGTTTTAATGTTTTTTCGCATGTTACAATTTTGGCAATTTTCGGAGAAAATGTATGTAATTTTCTCGTCAGTTACATAATGTACAGTTATCTTCGGAGATAACGAACTGACGACTGTCAGAATAGATATTTCACGCTTTAAAATGATACTAAATGGATTGTTATATAATATTTTTTTTTGAAGCTATATCACTTTGAAGTACCGATAATTTTTCATTGTCGTTACATCGGTACATGCTCTTCACTGTGAGTCATGAGAGCGATAAATTTCGTCGAAATTTACGAGAGAAAGTCTGACAAGACACTGAACATTTTCTCAGTATCTATTATTTGGAATTTCCTTGATATCTATTATTTGGAATTTCCTTGATACCTATATTCGCTTGCTAACTATTCTTCATCCTATAGGAAAGTCGAGAATTTTCGAATTTTCGAAGAAACATTTCTCTTTACTCGAATTACTTGGATTGTTATGTTTTTAACACTAGTAGTAGCAGCATGAAAGTAAATAAAAATATATTAAATATCTTAGTAACATTAGTTTTAATAATTATAAAAATAGAAAGTCCAAGTTCCGTCACTTCGGCGTGTGTTTGTCAGACCTAAACGAAATTCTTGTCTCGTTAGTTGCAACGTCGATGAAAAATTTCAAGTCTGACATGAATCTGACGTATCGTACAATTGATAATTACTGTTACGGTAATTGCTCGTTCTAGGTTGTACCTGAAGGTTTCCGATATGTTCTCATTCAGTTGGCAAAATATTGCGGCAACCTACCGATATACATAACTGAAAACGGTGTTTCCGATCACGGAGCACTCAAAGACGACGAGAGAATTTACTACTATCGGGAATATTTAAAACAAATGCTTATCGCCATTCACAAGGACGGTGTGGATATACGAGGATACTTCTTATGGTCGCTTTTGGATAATTTCGAATGGAACGCAGGATATAGGTGAGCGATTCCGATATTACGATGACAGCAGAGTGTTCAAATTGATGAGAAATCGACGAGATATGACTTTAAATTGTCTAAATCGATGAATCGTAAATTTAAACAAATTAGGTGTATAGCAAAAGCAATGAAAGTAATTAATCTTCTATGAGTTAAGATGAATTAGCTTTTGAGAAATTGGTGTGCGAAAAAGAATTAAGACGAGAGAGAGAGAGAGAGAGAGAGAGAGAGAGAGAGAGAGAGAAAGAGAGAGAAAGAACTAATAATATTTCAATTTCTAGCGAACGTTTCGGTATCGTCTTTGTCGATTACGAAGATCCGAATAGGCAACGTATATTGAAAAAATCGGCTTCGTGGTGGCAGCAAGTGATAGCAGCTGGAAAAATTGAGACTAACTGAATCACCGTCATCAGTGAAAATAAAGAGATGATGAATTTTAGACAAATTTTAGTTGCCTGCAATTTTTACTCGTGAATCTTCCATATAAGATTCCGATCATTTTAATAAATTAATTTAACTTATTAAAAAATAACTCGTGAACTTCTATATGTCGTTTTTGTAGGTTTGAGTCACTCAGAGAAATTTTTCTCAGCCAACGCACGTTTCATGAAAATTTTGAATTGCATTGAATTAAATTATTCTGGAAGTTATATGCGAGAACTCGTCGTAGAAAGTATTTCAAACATTTTGAGAGAAAAGATCAGTAAAACTGAACGAAGGTGGAGTTTTAAAATTGAAGAAATTACTACGGTGTAAAATGTGATAGCCTCTGGGCTTATTCAATTCACGAATATTAAATTAATCTGTTCCTTATCCGTTCAGTTTTATTTCAAAACTCTCTCTTTTGCTTGAAAGCACGTTTCGTTCGCCCAAGTTCCGTTTCAACGTCGTCCATATTCGAAGATTGAATTGTCGAGGATAAGATAAGGCGCTAGCTATGAAGGGCTAGAAATGGGGGTGCGACTTGTAAATGTAGAGTATTCACTATCTCGTTTGTACAGCTCCGTATGCAGTCGGCAGCTAACGAAAAAGAAGTAGAAAGGAAAATAACGGACCATCCTGAATCTTCTATAATTATTTTACTGCATACTGCGTAGAATTTTCATGATTCCGTTAGAAATCGTACGAGATGATCGAATGGAGCCATGCATTGTACATATGTATATATGAATACGTGAATTGAAAAATTGAAATACGATGGAATGAGGATTTTTAATAGATACAAAAAATTGTAAATTTTCTCATTTTTTCGTTAATATAAATTATCAGTTGTACTAGGACGCGCCTACTTACTTGTTACTGGAAAGTGCGAATTTTATTTATAATATTTTATTTATAGTATTTTATTATGTTACGAATGTTGTTTTAACTTTTAACATTTGTATTAAAATTTATACCACGTGTCTGTATGTTATTTATGAGTCAAGTGACTAATGCGTCATTATTTATAATGTCAGGTCATTACGAATAACGATTGAAACGGTCATATAGTCTGATAAATATTAATTAATTTATCAAATCGACCAAATATTGTAGATGAAGCTACATTAGGCTTGAGTTAGTTTCAGGCGTCGATTTAATTTGTCATTATGCGTAATGACAGATATTATAATAATGTTCACATTAATCACTTAATAATATATATATATACACACACACACTAAGAACATGATTATCAATTATTTTTCGTATCTTTGCTAGATGCACTGGATGAAATATTGTTAGTTGGAATGTTGGTTGGATTGTTGGTTCACGAATATAAATTTCCTTGAAATAGGCGATAAGTATGTGAAATAACATATGGCCAGCTAAAGAATGTAAAAGGATCTAATTCTATCAACATTGAATCGATCATCGAATTTTCAAATTACCCGTTATACATATATCCTGTTTGTGATCTTCACTTTTCGTACACAATCATTTTTGTCACGATGAAACGGTTAGTTTGCGAAAGGCCATGTAGCAAGTAGACAATACGTGTGCTTGAATCTTCAGCGTTATTCAACTTTAACCCCAGCCGAGCTCAATACTTCCGAGACCGTGTTTTCATTCTACTTTACATCTTGCTACTCGCGTTTACCTTCGGAAGTCCATTCCCCCTTTTATAAATAACATAATAGACCTCCACTTTCGTACGATCGTGATATTTCACTTGCAACCGGAGAGAAGTTTCTCTCTCACTTTCTCTTTTTCTCTTCCTGTCTCTCTGGCTCCATGGAGGATGCCATGCAAACACGGAAGAAGCGTAATGGTGACGTCAAAATATCGAGCGGAATAAAATCAGCCGAGCCTAAAGCCGGCTGGAGATTCTCAAGGAAATCTTTTGTTCCCCAGAGTAAACATCGCGTTTATGTATAATACACACTCAGCGTACGCAGAGGGGCCGAAAATCTGCGCGCCAGAATCCCACGTGAGGGATTAGCTATCGTTTATACGAAACTGAGTAAATTCAGAGGGCTCAGGCTCGCGAGAAGTGCCGCTCGTATCCGGTTAATTTTGTTAAGGCAGTTAGATGATAAAAGGAAAAAAAAAGAGAGAAAAGAATGGGCAAACACTTTGAAGATAGGCTGACTAAAACATACGCGCCTACGAAAATAAAGAGGAATTACGTGGAGAAAGAAGGCTGGGAGGGGAAACACGTCGGAACGAACGGGTAGACAGGGGAAACGAACAGAGATTCTCGTGTTAAATATTTCGCCCCGTCCGTGTTAATCCTTTTCGTAACATTCGCCGGATGAGTTTCTACCCGGGCACTGACGATGCAAGCAACTTTGTTTTTTCGAACAACCGTGCGGTTCTTTTATTGTTATTAGCCACGAAAAATTACGATAATTATATAGAATGGAATACACTCGATGGATTTCAATGATTTTAAATGGATCTTTGGGATAGTTCTAATGTAATTAATCATCATATTACGCGTTGATATAGTTTTTATCGTTATTTAAAAATTCACTCAATCGTCTAGCGCTGCAAAGGACAATTGATCTCTATTTACCAATTTGGTATAAATTGAACGGAGACTTCAATTATTAAGCTAGAATTTAAAATTCATTTATGGGTGAAGATGTTGACGTCTTCAATAATTTTATTGGTACGTTTTATCTGATTCTCAAAATTACAGATCTCACGATCGATCCACTAGATATTCTGTATAATTTGGATAGACCGAGTCACCGGATCCGTTCACTTTTTGTTTCGATAATAGTAAACATTCAGAGAGTCACTTTTTTTAAAATTCTGGATTCATAATTAGCGATACTGTACGAACAAAAGGAGGAAGAAAAATGAACACAAAATTTAAGACTCTTCCATTTACAACCGATAAAGATGAAAAATATCCGACTCGCTTCAAACGATGACACACGAACAAAAGGTGTGAAATCGCTAAAATACGTGTGACCGTAACAGTCGAAGGATATCAAGAAGATTCTCAAGATGTTGGAGAGATATGTAATAGCCGAAGTTCGTGGCGACGACACGCGGAACAATAACGGTACGGAACAATAGCGAAGCTTCCAGCTTCCACGCTATTCCTCCGTTTCTTTTTCTTCTTCTCTGTCTGTTGCTAGCCGAGTTGATTCCGATACCCTTCCGACAAACAGTATTCCGCTGTTGTCGCTTGGCCGACGTCGCGACTCTTAAAGGCGTTTGTTTCTATCTCGGATCGATAGGAATTCGAAATTGCGCGGAAAAAGGACAGCGCGTTATCAAACGCGCGGAGACAAAGCTCGCCGTGGCGAAGTAGTTTCCGCGAGAGGAAAGTACTCGAAGAAAGAGGGAAAGGTCCTTCTTCGTTGGTTTCTGATAATCTCTCCAGCACGGCTGCGACGAAGAATCTTTTTTGCGATATAATTTTATGCCGCATGTTATTTTTTTCATAAAATTTTATTGCTAGCTGGATCTTCATGCAATTTTTTTTATTATTATTATTTGCGGATCGAATTAAAAGAAACGAAACTCAAGTGGAAATTTGAAGTAGCAAATACTTTTGATACTTTACATTGTTACGGTACTATGTTTATATTGTTTTGATACTTTGTACATTGCATATTATGTTCATGTACACCAGCAGTTCTTTCCCAATCTTTTTTTTTTCTCTCGTTTGATTAGGCTTTTCGTTTCATACCTCCTCCCAGTCGCTATTTGTAAATCAAAACTCTATACTTTTTTGTGTTTTTATTGTAACATCTTTTGTTGTTTCTTTGTCACCGTTATCAATATTATTTTCGCGTATCCAACGCAAAGAGAAATATTGTTATTTGAGAATTAGAGAGGAATATTTCGTGAAATCTTGCATAAAACAGAAATGCTAGGAAACAGAAATACATTTTTACACGATGACAAATATATTTTTATCATGAGAACGTATCGTCGGCAACGAAGGACAAGAGCAATTTCTTATCAACTGGCCTCGATTGAAATTCAAGAATTTCATTAGTTACTTGGCAACAGAAATTTTTGCCTACTGAATAATAAATAAATTTTAATATCATCAGTAGTTATCGATTTGCATTATTTTAATCTGACAACGTTGCATTGTGAAATGTAATTTTGCGCATTACGCGACGGGTCAGTTATCGCTTAAGTTAGCATGCGAGGTAACAATAAATTATTCAAAAGTAAAAAAATTCTTCCCTTTTTTGCGCAAGCTTCTTCGAAATTTCAACGATTCACCAATTTTAACCCATTATTCTTAACACATTCTTCTTGCTCTTTCAATGGTCTTGCACTAAACACGTATGAGCTCATTTTGTAAAATTAATGTAGACTTTCGTCGAGGTTCGAACGTAATTATTAGGCTGATATTTATATAGATATTACAAACTCACAAGACTGAGATATTTATACATAATTCATAATTAGTCAGGATTAATTCGTCTACTAACCGAGTATACTGCTCTGCGGATACCACGATGAAACGTAAATAATGTCAGACTTGCGTAGCAGTTTTCCCTCGTTTTTCCACACGATTTTGTAAGGCAATTTGGCAAATACGTCGTAAAAGATTTGTTGAATGTCGTCCGGTATATCCGACAATCGTGCGGTGGTCCCCACGGAGAAATAGATGAAACCGTCCGTCGCACTGTCAACGAAATTTTTTAGATCCTGCCCACGCAAACGGGAACGATTATTTGTTTATATGTAGAATGGCTCGCGACGTACGTCGCGAATCGTGCCAACGACAGAAACGTTCAAACGACGAAGAGTGATAGTGGCGTAGATATTTCACAGTTTTCGCAGTTTATGCAGCGCTGCGTAAAATAAAATTGCGGGACTGTGTAACTTTTCCAAGAGAAATATTTGAAAAATTTTCGTTTCCCCGAATATCTGATGACGCGAAATGTAGAACGCGAAAGAAAGAAAAATAACGTTTTGTAACTCATGCGAAGGATAATATTTTCAAAATTGATCGTCAGTCGATCGTTGAAATTATCGACTATGCAGGTTCGTAAAATTTGTAGAAGGTTGTTGAGAATTTTTGGAAAAATGTTAAAAATTAATGAGGATGTGTATTGCAAAATTTCTATCATGTATCCAACTATTGTTTCACTACATATGTGAAATAGTATTATACGCTTCATAATTCCATATATTCTTTCATTTTCAAACTTGGAATCAGATGATTATTCTAAGACTTTCGTTCTATAATCTAAGCTTTATGTACCTGTGGCAAAGGTTTCGTCTCGTTAGAAACGTGGAGAGAGTATATTTGGTAACTTCGGACCACCGAATGTCATAACTGGATCCTCGTTGATAAACACAAGATTGACTTTTTGCGATATCGATCATCGGTGGTAACGGCATGCCTATGTGTTCTTCGGCAATCTTTTGATCAAGAGGATAGAAATGTCGATGTATCGTATAAATGAGATACCACATGATACAGAAATTCTTCAGTCTTTTCCAGAATGGTAACTCAGATCCCACGTTGAACTCCATTTTCCACGTAGCTTCGTGCGACGCCATTACCAACCCTCCTAACATATGAATATCGATAGTTGTTAATCCGAACGAGCTCAGTCCTAGAATTATACAAAACATTATACGTCGGTTTATATTTTTTATCTTGTATATTATCCCTCAGTTGTATGTAATTACTATAATTATAATATGTATTACAGAAGCTGACATTAAAATTATAAAAAAGAAATCTTTTTATATAGAGTGAAAAGTATAACACTGTAACATTTTTAATCGGTAATTTGGTGTTTCAGAAACAGTGGCGGGCCAAAGAAAATTTGATAATACAACTATGAATGCTAATGATTTATTTTTCTATGATAATTGAATTTTATACTGTTTGTCATGTTTGTCAGTAACAATATCCTAAATTCTGTTAGTAGATAATATTTAGACACTGTTCCCGGGTAATAAATTTATTGATCTCGTTAAATGTAATTCTATTTTCGAGAATGTTAAATATAATTCTGTTTTCGAGAATATTTCGCCATCGGAAATTTCCTATTTCTACAATTTCCTATTTCTTCTCAGTCTTCCTTTTAACCTTTATCAAACGAAAATATGTCAAATCTTCAATCTTTATCAAACGAAAATAACAATGTCGAGAATTACCTATAACGGAGGCGTTGAATCTGTGCAAAGAGGGATGGCGAGTAGATCATCTAGACCATAACCAGGTCGAACTTCTCTTTACTGTTGTTATCATTATACAGTTTCCTCACCTCCGGATAATCGAACAGGTGATTTGAAAATTTCAGTAACAGGCACGCAATATCATTTCCCAAGTATGATATGAAAGGCATGTATACAGTTGACGTTATAATTATTGGACGCGTTAAGGATAATTTCTCTATAATTCGTCGCGCATGGAATCAGTACTAATTCGTGGCCACGTTCCACCAACTTTCTCCACAACGGTCGAAATGCAATTTGATGGCTGTAAGATGGTAGGCGCGTTGTTGCTAAGATTCTGGCACCATTCGTCTGATTTTCCACACCAAAGATGTACAGAACGGAGAACACGATCCCGACAATGTTGTTGATTCGCAACAGTGTGAGATCGGTACTGCGATTGCGTTGATATATGCAAGATATTAATGCAAACAGATAACGTTCTAACTGTTTAGAAGTCAATCAGTAGAGTATTATTAAACGAGTAAAATATTTTAATATTTTATGTAGATGAGAGTAATCTACATAATGTAGATTTTATTTAAATGAATTGTATAATTGAATAGCTTGTGAAACGAAAGAATATCAACTACTAATTGTTAAATGATAGCTTCTAAGAAATTTTTGCGTGTCGCGTATTAAATAAATGTTATTACGTAGGTTTTTAACTCATGTTAAGACGATGAGTTCGGAGTTACGAGTAACGAATCAATTACTACTTAGAATTAATTCTTCATTTTTGAATAAGTTCGAAGCACCAAATTATCTCACATCGTTTGCATTAAATTATCAAAATCTGTCCTGCTAATCACAACTGCGAGGCTTAAAAGTTGTAGAAATTTTTTCGCATCACTTCTCAAGTAATCTTACTTAATTCAAGTTCTTAACTGGTATTATCTCTAAATAAGCGGTCCGAGGACGTGACGCTTTTAGTTGCTGTTTCTTCGAAATGTAGCAACGAAAAGCCAGCGGAAAGCAGAAATACAGGAGTTGCAAAAGTAGGTTAATTACTTGTGGGATTGCTTCGCTTAATTCGATCACGTGTATATTGTGTAATAACATTTCGTTAAAGGGATTTTCGTAGTTACGTGTCGCTATCAATGGTAAAATCACGATGCAACTATTTATTTGTTGGACAAAAAGCCGACTTCACTCGGTGATCTTTTTAACGATAACGTAACGTTATTGTTTATATTTTGTACGTTGCAGAGCATTAAACTAAGAACGTTAGAATTCCTGAATTTTAATTTTATGCAAAACTTTAATAATAATATTTCTTTGAACTGTGAGAGTTTAAACTATTATTATTATTATACATATAATATGAATTCTAACTCTACTTGTGAACATAGTATATTCCAAAACACAGTAAATTATATGTCTTTTTCGTTTACCATTTATCGGCTAATAGCTTAAGGAAATTTGCAAGTCAAAGATATCCGCAATCTAACATTTAAATAAATAAATTAGAATAAATCGTTACAAGAACAATAATAAGATGCACATAACATTATGAACGATCGTATTAATATTAAAACCTTTTATTATAATAGAAGACGTCTCGTTCTAAATTTAAAGATTGCGTATCTCTATCCTTTTTTCTGTAATATGAAATTTAAAAACGCGCTTCTTGCAGCAACCCTTAAAGCATTACAAACACGGAAGAGCATTGAAATTTCAGGCAATAATTAGAAAGTAAATCAAGTTGAATTTGATGTATGAACCTTCTTTATTTTTTCATACGCTCGTTATTTTATGCGTAAAAGTAAAAAAAAAAAATAAAGGTTCGATCGATGAGACGGCGAAGAGGAAGCTGAAATGCGATGATGAGATGTTTCGCGGAAAATTGACCGAGAGTCTTGAGTCAAGAGATGTTTAAACGTTTATAACTAGCAGAGCTTTCCAATCGGTCGTTCAACTTTGCCAATGAATGAAATTGAAACCCTAGAAGAAGGGCAACGTCACACTCTGGGCATACTCGTCTCTCGACAGTTGAAAACCGGAAGTTGCGATACTTCTATCCACATAACACACTGCCAAAATTTCACTACTATATAAAGTGGAATGTTCTAACAAAAAAAAAAAAAAAAAAAAAAAACATGTACATTTTTCTTAAATTATCTTTATTTTTTAACTCGTATTTATGCTTGACTTTTGCTATCTTTTCTGTAATTGTGTTTCAGTTAAAATGCATTTTGTCTCACTTAAAACTTCGTTTCGTTTTACTTTTGTTCAACCAGATTTGGGACGTTCGTGTATTATTTCCGTCGGCTAAATGCATTGTCAGCAATATTAACTCGTTGCTACCAATATTTATTTTCATATATTTTTTAAATTTACATTATATTAATTTACATTATTGTATCTCATTCAGTACATTGGCGTGGAAATATTATCTTGTTTGCGTTAAAAGTACAGTTCCCAAATGGAAACGAAATAGTTAATTAAATAAATAACTATCTGTATATAAAATAACAATAGAAAATAACAATATATAAAATAACATCGTAAATAGAAGGTCAATAACATCATACTAGCTACTAAAACTTACAACTTAAAACTTACATTGTATGGCGATAACGTTTTTACATTCCACAGATTGATTTATAGTTTTAGTGTGATTTCATCATCAGCGGAAATTACTATCATCAGTTGATCATAATTTATAATAAATTTACACTTATTCAAAAGACCGATGATACTATGAGATACTATGAGATTCTAACATTAATTGTACATTCTTTAGGTCATAGGTCATATACATGATCCTTCGATCGGGGCGATTCTCGAAGTTTTGAAAAGCTTGACGATTGTTTCCTTAAATGTCACTCATTGAGACGAGATATTTCATCTACGATTGACTGAAACTAACAATAAGTTGCGACGACACTTGACGTTCAATTAATTCGTCTTCAGTTTTTGAGACGAAGAGATTTGCTTATGGAGGTAAACTGTCAGCTTGACAATTAGATGGAGTGTAGTTGAAACGATCAGGAAGGCTACGAACGTCAAGAACACTATAACGTCCAAGTCATAACGTTGATACCATGGTTGGAAAATTAGAGTGGAGCGAAAATAAGGCAAATTTTTCGCACGGATCGCATGTTCCGTCCACCAAGCGAGATTTTTCACGGAATCGTAGGGTGTATCTTGTATAATCTTCCGAATATTAATTATTTTCTCTTTGTACCTGAAAACAAACGAAGCAATCCTGGTAGAAATTGTTACAAACGTCTTCTCAAGGGAAGAGACTTTCAATTGAGACATTTTGAGTGACGTATATTCTGTAAAGACAGGGATAATGGAGAAACTCTTAATTCATCATTGTTTATCAAAAATTGTGATATTCTAATTTGTTCTTTGATCAACAACTCTGTAATCATTGCAGAAAAAAATCATCGTAATCTTTGCAGAGTGTAGTTTGTATAACGTTGCTTAAACGATATGAGAAATCAATAATACATGTTGTAATAATATATGCATTATCACGCATCGGTTGATTTGATAAATTAGACATTGTATTACGGAATAAAATATCATTGACCCAAATATGTATACCCAAGTATGTTCTCTTTTAGTGTTGAGTATGTTTTTTTAATGAATTTTAATGAATTAATTTTACAATCACCTGGCCAAGTAACAGAAATATCGCAAGACAGAAGACACTTGAATTTAAAAGTTTCAATCGTCTGATATTCTTACTAACGGAGCTACTGAATTATTTATAATATACTAAAATATACTATGTATCGATAATCATAAAGCGACAATGAAAATTAACAGACATGAAGTGATTATGATAAGTATAAAATAATAGCTCTAGTTCAATATATATAGGAAAATTAATAAAAATTTTTCCAAGAGTATCCAAAAATTACTAACACTTGCAAAAGCAAATATTCCAAGTCCCTGTAATTTTCAGTAATTTTGCTCCTGATGTAGCACGATCTAGTTTGTACTTACTCTTTATTAGTTATGAGCTCAATGATACTACTCTTAAGTTCCCCTTTCGTAACAGTTGTAATTTCCAAACGTTTGCCAATGCCCAGAGCTTCCATTCTGCTTACTTGATAACCCTGATCGGCGAAAATCGGGACCCCAAGAACAGGCATGCCATAGTGGATAGCCTCGTCGCTGCTCTGCCGACCACCTTGGTAAATGAACAGCTTGACGTTCGGATGAGCTGTAAAATAATACAATTCGATGAATAATTTATCATCGAAAGGCTGAATCATGATCATATGAGGGACTATACCGAGAATGCTTTGCTGAGGCAACCATTTCGCGGTGTAAACATTGTCAGGTTTCCCGGGCAAATCCTTTTCGTATTTCCAGACTATTCTGTAAGGCAACGTTGCGAATACGTCGCAGAATACGCGTAGAATTTCCACTGGCAAATCTGAGCTTCTAGCGTTGGTACCGAGGCTGAAGTAGATGAATCCATTTTTCGCGCCGTCTACGAATTCTTGCAAGTCCTGCGACAATGATAATTCCGATTGAAAAATCGTTGTAGATTTTGGGTGGATTTTGGATCAATGCTTATCTACTTTTTTAATTATGATTTTGCTTGAAGGTCTACTTATGACACTGCTGAATGCAACACGTGCAATACAATTGTACTTGTAGTAGAGAAGTCTTCGCTTAATATGGATTAACCCATTTGACGATTAAATAAATACCTTGGGTAAAGGAAGTAATTCATCCTGTATATGAAAGGACGTAAACGAGATTACGTTTGGAAGTTGCGGTCGTGCCGGTGTCATAGCGGTGGCCCGATTAATGAAAACCATACTAGTATTGTTCTTCATAATGTCTATTAACGGCGGTAGAGGACCAAGATATTTCTCGGCCAGTTGTTGATTAGCGAGAAACTCTTGGTTGTATGTGAAGTACATGAATCGCCATAGTGTCACGAAATTCCATAACCTCTTCAGAAACGATAAATTCGAACCCACGTTGTTTTCCATTTCCCATGTGCTCTCGTGGGAAGGGAGAATCAATCCGCCAATTACGTATTCGTTCAATGTAATCATCTCTGTCGAACTTAATCCTACGGTCATGAAAAATGTGATGCAACGAATTCGTGAGGCAGTTGTTGTACGCATTTTTATAATTATATTGGTAAAGGTTAACAGAGACCTATTGTTCTAAAATGGGATAACTTCAATTCTTCTAAACATATTTTCTTTCTAGCGGGAATGAAATTATATATATTGAGGATCTAGAAATAAATTAATCATCAGATCTGAAAAATTTTCTCAAAATAATAATTTTACTGAAGAATTGAAAGAAATAAAAATATTACATAACATTATTAATAATTTCTTCATTTAGATATATTTGATGAAGAAATGACTCGTTCAGCAAATTGGATGTCAAACTAATCACAAAACTAATAATTCTAAATATTCAAATTAAACAATAACTCCAGAGATATTATCTACTTTAAATAATATTATACTTTTTAATTAGAGGTCAAAGTTTTAAATGTGATGTAAATGAAGGATTTTCAAAGCTCAAAAATATGTAAATCATAAAGACATTGTATAACCTTTTTATTGCCTTTTCTGAAAAATTTATATTTTTTGGTATTTATATTTTTTGGTTGCATAAGTTTCTCGACGAAATAACTTGTGAAGCAATGAATAATCAGATTATTTAGTTTGGTAATATGTAAACATACATATATATTTATATTTGTTCGTGGTTTTCGAAACGAAATAGCAATGAAATTATTAAGTATCATGACGAACTGTTACATTTTTGTGAAAAAGTGATCTGGAAGATTGGAATTTATAATTTGCTGCCCTTTTTTTTCTCATTCCATTTGACTTTGACAATGTCTCAAGAAGTCTTAATATTTCATCGCTGAAATTCAATGAAATAGCCAGAATAGAAAAAAATCAGGATTTATGAAGTAGTTATAAAGTAAATCAAACTTTAATATCATAAGGGTCGATATAGCCATGAAAAATATTTGAAGTTAAATTTGAAGTTTCACGATTTTCTTTGCTTTCATACTCATTGCACGAAGTGAAAATACCTACGTGAAAAACGAGTTCAGCGTTCTCAAAGTATAGATTTCACTATCTAAAACGACAGGTGGATGATTGCACGATCTTTTTCCACGAAGTCGTAACACTTTCGAATATCGACTTTTTATTTTTTTTATAAAGTGTTGTCCATCACCGTACGAATTGAACTGCAACCTCGAATGACCGTACATATGTATTAAAGAAGTACCTATTATGGGAATGTCGAACCGATGTGCAAGACCTACGATGGCGGGCGTACATTGGTATTCCATCATAAGGATGTCAAACTTTGCGTCGCTGTCTGGAGCGTACACCTTTTTGAATTCCTGATTGTCGAATAAGTTTTCCACGCAAGCCAGACAGACGGGTAACCCGTATTTTTCCATGAGTTGCAACCATGAACGTCCGCTGAACTTCATTTCAACGATGTTTAGTGCCTTAAAAATTTTGTAGGACTGGCTGATGTCGATCTGCGTGAAATTCGGCAGATTGATGTTCGGTATGGGATTCGTCGTGATTAGAAGAATTTCGTGGCCTCGGTTGTGTAATTCCAGCCATAATCGTTGGAACGGTATTTGATGGCTGTAGGACGGTGTCGCTATGATTGCTAGGATTTTGTAACATTCCGTCTGTTCGGCGACACACAAGACGCACAGAATGAGGAAGAGCTTGGTGATCCGCTTCATCTTGCCCGGCTATTGCAACTAGCAGTTACGGATCTACTAAAGAGGCATCGACGTGTTTATTTCAGTATGTTAACGATACGATATCTGAATAAACATAAACAGTTATCGGTGAATTATAGCCCAGTGTCTTTACTATTATTAATATCGTCAGTGACAGTGCATTTCTTTGGACGCGCATTATGCATACGTCGCTTCGGCGTATATATATAGACACACACACACACATATCGCCAATAAAATCGAAAACGATCTATATATTTGTAGAACATCTTTCCTTTATTTGTATTCACATAATTCACCGTTGAAATTTCAATACATAATACGTGGAACACTCTGATAAAAGTAGAAAAATATATATATATTTTTTTCCCCATATAATTAATTATATAATTGACAATGTATAATTTGCTTTTGTTTTGAACTTTGCTTATTTGTGTTTGACTTTTGTTATCTTTTCTGTACAATTGCATTTCACTTGAAAAGCATTTTGTCTCATTTGAAATTTTGTTTTGTTCAAATGTGACGGAGGATTTTTTAGACATGTTCGTAAAAATCAGAAACTATTATTTTCATCGACCAAAAGCATTGTCAGAAATATTGACTTGTTGCGTCTAAATTCTTTAAAATATTCTGCCTTTTGTTCTCGTACTCGATAACAAATGACGTGTGCTACATCAGTTTGGAGAACGATCAGTGTTAAAAACGGTTAGGATTGAATGAAATGCGTTTAGAAATGCATCAAACGTACGTACACTATCGGCTATAAGTAAGACACCTGCTTGTTATATTTACTGAAATAATCTAATAAAGTTTCTTTGACCTGAAGTGATAAATTTTCAATTTTTCATTATACATGTTATTGCCTTATCGGGCATGTAAGTATTCGTTCACATGTAGCGTCTCATTTTTTGCTACTACATCGCATCTCATTCAGTGCATTGATGTGGAAATGTTCCACATTGAAATTGCAGATTCCGAAATGAGAATGAAATAACTAATTAATAAACATTTACATATGAAATAACAATAGAAACAATAGACCTATTTCTGATACTAACTGATATTTTATAAATTATAACAACCGGCATTGTATGGCGATTAGTGTTCCTGAACTATAGTTTTAGTGTAATTCCGTCTCAGCGAAAATCATTATTATCAGATTATAATAGTTCACAATAAATTTACACTTGTTCAAAAGACCAATGACACAATAAGATCTGGCATTAATTGAATCCCTTTCATCGAGGCGATTTGACGCGCTGGACAACTATTTCTTCAAACTCATTCGTCGAAATGAAATACTTAACCTACGATTGTCTGAGACCACTAGGTGGCGCTACACTCGACGTTCGATTAATTCATCTTCAGTTTTTGTGATTGAATGATTTGCCTGTGCAAGTAAACGACTATCTTGGCAATTAGGTAGAGCGTACTTGAAGCGATCAGGAATACTACGATCGTCAAGAACGCTATGACATCCAAGTCGTAACGTTGATACCAAGATTGGAATGTTATGCTGGAGCGAAGATGGGGCGCTCCTTTCGTACGAATCACATATTCTGTCCACCAAGCGAGATTTTTCACCATATCGTAGGGTGTATCTTGTACGATATTTCGGGTATTAATCATTCTTTCTTTGTACCTAAAAACAAATACAACAGCGAAGTTAGAAACTCTTATGTACGTTGTTACTTCTCGAGGGAACGTTTCAATGAAATATTTTCGCAGATGCTTCCTGTAAAGGCAGGAATTGCAAGGACTTTTAATTCGAGGATCAAATACCGTCGAAAATAACTGTACTGTTGCAATTCGTAAAAGTTGAGCTACTCGAAATTGTAAAATTTGTAAACAGTAGAGTTAAGTGGGTGGCATTGGGTTAGAAAATTTTCAAATTTAATTTAATCATGCGAAACTTATTTAAAAATAAATAAAATTTTCGTCACTTGTCGCTCTTCGTCGCTTCAAGGAGATACTTTAATAAAAAGTTTAAGACAGTAGATATCTTAACGATCTTACAATTATACGAAATTAATAACGCGGAAACTACAAAACGTAATATAAGTGTAATATAAATTTCGAAATTAGAATGAGTATCAGATTAGGGATACGATGATTTATGTAATTGAATAATTGAAATAGCTTCGCTTTCTATAATTGAATCTCATTGTAAATGATAGGTTTCTCGTGCCAAATGCGTTTTTATAACTGAATTTGCATTTAAGTATCGTAGTTTATGTTATAAGAACTTCAGCTCTAGGCTTATTATAAGTGAAACATTAATAACTCATTAATTTTTTAATATATTGATTTTCATGACCTGATTTTAATGTTTAGCATGTAAATTTCACATTATTTGTCGCTCGTTATCATTTCAAGAAAACACTGTAATAAAATTATTTTCTACCACAACCATTGATCAACAACTCAATGCATCATGATATTTAAAAAATATATGCAACGTTGGATATAACATTACACATATTACCATGCATTGTTTGATTTGATTGAGTTAGACATTGTATGAATCAATAAAAACATATCATTCACTCAAATGGTATGTAATAGTTAGAAAAATTCAAACTTCTGCAGTGTTGAATTCTTACGAGCGTAATGTGAAAATAATTCGTACGTTCTCTTTTCATTTTTGAATTTGGCCAAGTAACAGAAACATTGCAAGACAAGAGGTGTCAATCAAATTTAAAACTTTCGATTATCTGATATTATTACCAATGGAGCTCTTGATCTATTTATAGAATACCAAAATATATTTTGCATTGGTCCCAAGTAAAGTGATCATGAAAATAAACGTATATAAAGTAATTATGATAAGGAGAAAATAATTATATTTCTAGTACGATAAGTGTCGAGAAATTAATATAAATTTCTCCGAGATTATATCCACCATTTTCCAACAATTGCAAAAGCAAAAATTCTAAGTCTCTGTGATTTCCGGTAATTTTGCTTTTGATGTCGCACGATCTAGATTGTACTTACTCTTTGTTAGTTATGAGCTCAATGATACTACTCTTAAGTTCCTCTTTCGTAACAGTTGTAATTTCCAAACGTTTGCCAATGCCCAGAGATTCCATTCTGCCTACTTGATAATCCTGATCGGCGAAAATCGCGAACCCAAGAACTGGCACTCCGAAATGGATAGCCTCTTCGCTGCTCTGCAGACCACCTTGGTAAATGAACAACTTGACGTTCGGATGAGCTGTAAAATAATACAACTCGATGAATAATTTGTCATCGAAAGGCTGAATCATGATCATATGAGGGACTATACCGAGAATGCTTTGCTGAGGTAACCATTTCGCGGTGTAAACATTGTCAGGTTTCCCGGGCAAATCCTTTTCGTATTTCCAGACTATTCTGTAAGGCAACGTTGCGAATACGTCGCAGAATACGCGTAGAATTTCCACTGGCAACTCTGAGCTTTTAGCGTTGGTACCGAGGCTGAAGTAGATGAATCCATTTTTCGCGCCGTCTACGAATTCTTGCAAGTCCTGCGACAAGGATAATTCCGATTGAAAGATCGTTGTAGATGTTAGGAGTGTCGATTTTGTGTTAGAAACAAGCTATCATTATGTCCGTAAAAGTTTGATGGAAATATCAGATTTGTTCAGATAATTAATGGTACTAAACTTTTCTTTGTACTTGAGTGATAATTTCCAAATTTGAATGGAATCCTTTGCTTCTGGATTCTTTTTAATGAAACTAAATTAAAAGATAATTAAAGTGTGATAATTGAGAATCTTTCTGAGAAAAGGACCGATCTGTGTGTTCACTATACCTACAGGATTAACCGTGGTTGATTCTTGCTCAAGTGAGTCCTTTGGATGATAGCTACCCACGGACCGATCAAACGCTATCTCATTAATGACAATTCCATATTGCAATATAATTGTATGAATGACTTGGTAACGTTTCTAATAGAAAAAGTAAATTAGAATTCTAAAATTCTAATTTATTATTTCTTTTTATGGATCCTTTTTCCAAAAAGTATTCACTACAGAAATACACACAGGGATGTGTAAAATATTAATCGCTGCACTTTGGATATTATCACTTAACTTGTTAAATATCACATTCGCCGTACTTTATTTAAGTAGAACAATTTTTTAACAGTGTTTCTTAATTATCTATCAGTATCTTAATTATCTAACAATTTTCTATCAGTGTTTCTTAATTATGTATGATTTTGCTCAAAGTTCTACTTATGACACTGCTGAATCGGAAACAAGTACAATCGGACTTGTAGTAGAGAAATATTGGCTTAATATAGGTTGACAATTTGACGTATTAGTAAATTTGTACCTTAGGTAGAGGAGGCAGTTTGTCCTGTATATGGAAGGACGTAAATGAGATTGCGTTAGCAAGTTGTGGTCGTGCCGGTGATATAGCGATGGCTTGATTAATGAAAACCATACTTGTGTTGTTCTTCATAATGTCTGTTAACGGCGGTAGAGGTCCGAGATATTTTTCAGCCAGTTGTTGACTAATGGGCAACAGTTCGGTGTACATGAAGTGCAAGTAACGACAGAAGCTCACGAAATTCCGTACCCTCTTCAGGAATGGTAAATTCCTACCCGTGTTGGCTTCCATCTCCCACGTGCTCTCATGAGAAGGGAGAACCAGTCCGCCAAGGACGTGTTCGTTCCATGAAGGTAGCCCATACGAACTTAACCCTACGGTTATGAGAAATGTGATTAGACGAATTCATGAGGCAATTGTCAGCGTGACCCAATATTTGCATAATTTCAGACTTACGGATTAACGGAGATATATTAATTTCAAGTGAAATAATTTTAATTCTTTTAAATATTTCTATTTTGTTTCTAGCGGGAATGAAATTACATATTAAAATATGAAGGATGTATAAATAAATTCGTCATCTGGGGTAGAAATGATAGAGGAATGTATTATTTAAAAATGTTACATAATAGTATTATTAATAATTTCTTTATTTAGATGCTTTTGATGAAGAAGCAACTCCTTTGGCAAACAGAATTTCTAGAAGTATTATCAGTATGAATAATATTTTATTTTTTAATTAGAGGAGTTTTAAATTTGATGGAGGACCTTCAAAGCTCAGAGACATGCAAGTCATAAAGATATGTA